GAAATTTGAAGTAGTCCGAGGGGAGCAGAAAAAATAAAACCGGAAAATAAAACCAAAAGCAAGATACGGGAGTTAACCTCCTTTTACTGCCTTTTTGTTGCTCGGGGTGGGGGGGGGGGGGAAAATTAAGTTATCAAGTTTTTGAGCGTCGCCGTCTGACTGCAGCGGGGAGTAACGAGCGTGTTGGCAGAGCTCGGGGTTGGGGGGAGATCGGCCCTTCATAGTTCATTACTGTGATCTGAGGAGGAGAAGTCAGGTGTAGCTCTTCGCTCTGAGGCCTGTACTCGCTGACGGGGGTCCCCGCTGCCGGCAGCTGGGGCCTTTGTCTGGCCGGGAGGTGAGCGGGTGATGTCCGCCCACTGTGCTTTTCCAGGCTGTATAATATAGACAGACAGACATCCATCTTCTTCACATACCCCTCCCCTTTTTTTGTAGCAAGTGCGTGGCACTACTATCTCCCCTCCTCACCCCACTTTGCTGCAATTAATAGGAATTTCTTCTGCCTGCACAGCTTTGCGCTTCTGCTATTGCATGTCATAATCGTTTCGCTTCCTCTTGTCCACGGTCTTGTCCAGTTCTTTCCATGGGGTATTCCAGTCCTTTCTCTTGTCATAACAGCAGCGCTTAGGTTTATGTCATCAGCAAATTTCATTAGCAGAGTCATGTTTTTTGTTCCAAGGTCACTAATAAAAATTTTAACTAAGATAGGTTCCCAGATCAGTCCCTATGGAGCTGCATTAGTAACCTCCTTCCATCTAGACTTTCCCTTTCAGCACGTGCTATTGTCCTTACTTTTTATTTCTTACATTCATCCACATCTCTCCATCTTAATTAATATTTTCTCGCATGGCATCCTCTCAAATGCTTTGCTGAAGTCCAGACATATTTGATCTACCATATTTTCATTGTTTGAAAAAACGATTTATCAGAGAGAGATACGGGCTTAGTGTGGCATTTTCTATCTTTGGTGAAGCCCTGCCGCATTTTAACCAGCTTTCCATTCACCTCCACATCTTTAATTAGTTTTTCCTTCAGCGTTTGTTCTAAAGCTTTGTGTACTAATGAGGTCAGATAAAAGAGCCTGTAGTTGCTTGTATCACTCCTTTTTCTCACCTAGTACAAATCCCCCACAAAAGTCTCTAGACTTTTCTATATCTTTCCTGGCTGCTGTGGTCACCAGGTCTGACCTCAAATTAAAATACAGCATGCCTATCATTGATTTTGGACTTAGTCATCAGTCTGAAAAAGCCAAATGTTACATTTTTTACTTCAAAGCCTGCCTCAAAGGTTTCTTTTGCAAAACTGTGCGTTCAGATTGCCTAGTTCTCAGACTTACTTGCATTCATGCCTTTGTGATTTTATGTATGTAGCTTCCATATGCTGATATTGCTTTGCACATCTTTTTTATCTTAAATGCATTGCATTATATTTGTATTTTTACTGTATTGGCATTTTGTCCCTAGCCACAAAAGAGCAGCTGAAGAACACTGCTTCCAGTTTCCTTTTTACTAGTACATCCAGTGGGTGGATTTAGAATAAACCTTATTACTTTAAAACAAAATTATTTCACTTGTGTCCAAATGCAGCCGACTGCCATCTAAAAGAGGACATGTAGAAGTGAAGTACACGAGTGAATGAAGTGTCAGTTTGTTCTACAGAACCCAGAGAGAGCTATTTCTCTACTATTAGTTTGGTCTAAAAGATATAGCCTGCCATGAACTTTGCTTCTTTCTTAATTAGCTCCCAACTGGTATGCGATTCCAGGATGTGTTCTTCCAGACATCATGCATGGTGAGGTCCTTGCTGAGAATGACGTTTAATTCCTTATAGCAGTAGCACAAAGGAGAGCGGAGGAATACAACTCCAGATTTTTGGCTGGACATCTGTAATTCCATATCCTTCACCTCGCATGAAGCTCTTCCCTGTTGTACCTCAGCCCCTCTAGGTCCTTTTCCATGTCTGAATAAACAGCTTCTTCAGAGATGGCTTTATATAGAGCCCTGCCTATGTACTCACTAAGCTGAGTTTGTAGAAAGAGGTAGTCTAGAGATGTGGAAGAGGGGAGTTTCCAGTCACTGTGATCTTCTGAGCAGCAAAAGTCAAGATCAGAGCAGCGGTAGCTGTAAGGGCTGTAGGGTCGTCACTGCAAGACTTTGGTGCTAATGCAGCTATTCGGCATCTGCTGTTGGCAGAATGCCTGTGCGAGGTGTTACTTTAACTATGCCGGTAAATAATCAATAGTCTGTAGGCAAGATCTACAGCTAAGCATGGACTAGACTTTGCCTACAGAAAGCAAGTTTTACTGCTAAAAAATGGAAGTAATACCAGGCTACAGGTTTGTAGAAGATTCCTCACTTTTCTCTCAAAATGGAACGCGTTTGCAAGTTGGGTCTTTAAGATAAGTTTCAGCACTGAGACCAGCTGACCTTACACAAACTGGTAGAAATATGAATAGAAATAGCATGGTTTTGTCTCCAAGAAATCAATTAGTATGGCTGTGACATCTTGCCAGGCTAAGCTTAATCAATCATGTAGTCTTTTTCTTCAAAATAAGAGAGTCCCCAGTTTCCTTTGTGGTATTTACAGACAGAGTAAGTGTACGCAATCTGACTCTAACATGTACATACTCTAGCCTTTCATTTCTTATGAGCAAGAACAAAATATATGTTATTTGTGATCTGTAAATCTGTAATCTATACGTCCAGGTTCACTTAAGGAACGTAAGTCACTGTTGTTAAAATTTGTCTTAGAACAAGTTACAAATGAAAGCCTTCTAAGGCAAAACAACTTAACCCCATCCTTTAATATTAGATTCATTTGT